CTCCCAAAGTCATCGGCTGGCAGATATCTCGTGCAGTGGGCGTGGCAGTTCAGTGGCAACAGAGGAGGCCCAACATTTTCGACATTTAGCGTTCAGGTTTTAGTCTTGATATTATATATTATAATTCATTATCCCTAAACCCTAAACTACTAAACCCTAAGCAACCCTAAACTAGATTGGTTTGCGAGGGATGGGCCTTGGACGAGGTCGGGTTGTGGGGTTCAGGCTACGGGTGTTGTGGGGGTTTTACAGAGCTTTCTGAGGCAGCAAGGTATTTTGTAAAGGGTGTAAGGAGCGAAGGGTAGGAGGATTTCGCTGTTTCGGGGCCGGTGCTTGGAGGATCGGGGGGCTTAGTGAGTCATGGTTTGTATGTAGGTCTGTGATCCCTCAAGTAGCTTGGGCCGCAGGAGAAAACTGGAACACCATCATGTATGCCGGGAGCTCAGATGCTCGAGTTCCCGATCCGACCCTCAAGCCTTAAGCCTCAACATCCAGGTTTTCCTCAGATTCAGTATGAAGGTTACTTAGGGGTTTAGGGCTTTGGGGCGTGGGGGTTTCCAAATGCTGAGAGCCCTAAGCGACCAGCCGAAGATTTGGGAGTTTCCGAAAATAGGGGACCCTAATATAGTACCCTAAATAATAGGATCCTTATTATAAGGACCCCAAAATAAGGTATCCCCAATTTTCGGAAACCCCCATGTGGAAAGAAACGCAACATCGAGTCGGAGCTGCAGACATGGGAGGCCGACAGCAAGTTTTCTGGAGTCCAGAACCCAATGTGATATTCGGTGCGAGTCGCTTTTGCTACAGTTCAGATTTTGTTAAATGTTAGGGAGCCTTCTGTCTTCTTGTGTTGATCCCGTTTTTGCTTTTGTATACATTGCGTCTTGAGTGGCAAGAAGTGCGGATAGAGATTCCCTTTTCTGAGAGTGTGTTTACATGTTGCAGTACGTCTTACATATTGCAGTATGTCCTGCCATTAATGGAGTAGGTCCCGTGTAGCTATATTGGACTTCACGTCTAATTTCATACGTAAATCCTTTGTAGCTATACTGGGCTCTAAGTCTAGTTTTTACACCTCGAGCCCGAAGCCCAAAACCATCCCACCAACGTACGACCCCTACTGCACTAGATGCTAACCCACCCCTGAGCCCGAACTCTAAGCCTACGCGAGGCCGGCATGCGGGCTCAGAGCTGGGCCTACGCGGCATTCTTTGCCTTCCCAGCATGTTCATGCATATTCGGACACTCTCTGGTCTAGGGGATTAATCGTAGGGCCCAGGGTTGTAGACTTTTGTCAAGGCTCCGTAGAGATAGTTACCGGATGTTAGCTGATTTTGCTTTGTTGCCGATTATCTTGCCTTCTTTCCGATTGTCTGTTCAAGTGTCGTTGCTGATAGTGGTTAAAGGTACTTATCTTGAAGACCGCCTTTCACGCGTTTGGAAGGTCGTTTGGGGCGTGTTCTTCGGCTGATCAGACTTTAACATGTCGACCACTTGAAACATCCATCTCGTGGGCCTTTGGGCGCAAGACTCGTTTGTTGTTTCTCCCTTCCTCCCACACCTGTCCACTGATTTTACTCTTCCCTCGGTCTGCACGGACCGACGGGGTACTCTGTGCTCACGTAAGCTCGACAAGTTCTGTAAGTTGGCTTGAGAGACTTCGAGTGAAGTCGAAATCGCAGACTTCGCCACCGCTGTGAAAGCAGCCGTGCTCAGGGATGTAAGGATATCAAAACTGAATGTCATGAGGCTATGGTTTAGAAGGAAGATTCGGCAATCTACGGAGGGTTTTACAAGAGAAACTCGGACGGACAAGGTGGCAGAGTTACAGAAAGATTAGACCCATAAATGATCGAAGTGGGGCTTCTATTAAGGGTTTGGTGCTGAGTAATGTAGATGCCTGATTAATAAATCTTGAAAGGGATCATAATAGAGATCCGAGTGCTGAGGACGGTAAAGAAAAGGGATGTCTTAATCAGGGGTCTACATCATACACAGGGCTCCCTGTCGGAATTGAACATTCACGGTTTCATGTTGGGGGCACTGGCAATGCAGGCCTTGCCTCATGGAAGCCGACACAGCTGCATACATCATCAGAAATGAAAGTAAAACTTTAACTTTCGATGCACACCCATGTGTTTGTGTACGTATCTACTCGTCATGCTTCATCTGTTTAGGTCTTCGAGGCGAGGACTTGTGTATACGAGCGAATATTCTTTAACAACTAGATACATAATTATATGTCTAAGAAAGGAAATGTACTTGTGCATATATCCTCTGTGCGTATGCGTCACATACATGTGTCCGAACATGTATGTATATGCATATGTGTATGTATATGTATACATGTACATGCATATGTACATGTGTGTATATATATATATACGTACATAGAATATATATATATATATACACATAATATATGTGTATATATGTATAAACACACACGCACACGCAAACTGCACCCCGAATTTGTGTCGGCTTGTCGGTGGGGAAGATTGACAGTTGCCAGGTCTTGTTGATCATCTTTGGGCAGATCCTCTTTCTCAGCCTGTGGATGCCTTGGTGGTTTCAGAACTTCAGAACTTTGACCGTCTGTGCTCCGGGCTTCATCATAGGCTGAAGTGTACTTAGAACGCGTTTGGCCGGGTTTTGTTCTGCTGCGAGCGTATACCACTGGTATATGCAGGAATCGTGGTATATCCTATCTTGAGCTTTTCATGTCACGGACGCAAGGTTTCGGGTTCAGAGTTCGCAAATCGCGATTGGCGGCGCTTCCCACGACTTCATGATGCGGGCATCGGTGCGGTTTAGCAGCGAGGGTTCTGGTTTAAGCTTGCCTATCTCGGGGGGTTGAACCTGGTCGAAGCTGTTGGATTACCTTAACCCACCAACACCCACTTTTATGTAGGTTCTGATTATAAACCCTCATATGGGGCTTATAGGGACCCTTCAAAAAGTACTAGTAGGTTCTGGTGGGTTGGATTAGGGCCTGGTGTTCAGTTTCAGCGAAGCAAGGTTCGAGTCGAGGCGAAGCGTTTTTCCCCTTGGGCTCTTGTACATTTTATGTGCATGAGACATCATGCCGTTGCAACCCTTCTGCAAGCCCTATAAAAAACAGTAAGTATCTATAACGACTGTTGTAAACCCTAAACCCTCAACCCTAAAACCTAAACCCTAAACCCTAAACCCTAAAACCTAAACCCTAAACCCTAAACCCTAAAACCTAAACCCTAAACCCTAAACCCACAAAGCCAAACATCCTGATGTAGCAAGTGCCGAGGTTTCTTTCCATGCTACTCTCGAAGTTTGACGAAGTTCAGGATCTGTCCCTGGCACTGACACTCAAGGTGTCTTAGGAGTAGAGGAGTCGAGGCATTTTTTTGAAGGCTTAGAGTATGCAGATCGAAGTTTCCGGCTTCGAGGTTTTAGGGTTTTGGGGTCGAGGGTCTTAGGGCAAATTTTAGGGTTTAGGGTTTTAGGGTCGGGGGTTTTAGGGTTTAGATCCCCAGTCGCATGCCAACAAGTCTCACAAACCCCGTCTTGGAGCATGCGACAATGTCAGGCTTCAGAGAGGGTGTAGGGCGTGTGCATCCCATCAACAGCTCTGCGGACTTTACACCCCAACCCTAACACCTCCGAGCAAACCTGCAAATGTCCTTGAAGTACACCTCAACCCTGGTCGGCTTATGCATGAGCTGACGAAGAAGACGAGTAACTGACCTCCTGGAACAAGCCAAAGACGGCTACCTACTTGGAGGTTCATGGGACTTAGTAAGTACAGTTATAAGTACCTTAATTGGGGTTATAATTGCTAAGAAGTATAGTTATCTTATTCATAACCCTAGTTATTACGTCCCATGAACCTCCAAATACCCCGTTTATGCTTGCTGCGGGATGCTTAAAGCTCAGAGGAGCGGCCCATTGGCGAGTACATCTGGGAGTTTCTTTCCATCAGGGGTACTTTGCTTAGGTGTCATGGTCCCTAAGGGTCCAAGTAGTCCTTATATATGGCTTTTGGTACCCAAAAAGGCCCTAAAGACCCATAATAAGGAGTACTTGGACCCTTAGGGTATTCAAAGGATTCTGTAGGCCTCTCGCCCGCGAACGTCGGCCAGGCATGTTGCACTGCGCGGCCCAAGCCTTGCTGAGCCACCCTGGGCATTGCAAGAGAAAGAAAGGCCTCAGGGTCCTTATGATGGATCTTTAGGGCCTTTTTGGGTACCAAAAGCCATATATAAGGACTACTGGGACCCTTAGGGAATGCCTCTTTAAGTGAAGTCATAGCTCCACATGGCCAGGTCAAACCAGAGGCTCGTTCCGACCACTCGAGGGCTTTGCCCAAGCCTACCCCAAACATACCTCCAGGAACGATATACAAATCACACCCTAAAAACCCTAGAACTCTGTTCTATCCATATTCAAACTATACCCCGAAGCCCTAAACCCCTAAGCCCGAAACCCTAAGCCCTGCAAGCCTCAAGCCCTGTTGTAGATGCCATGGCGATTCGCGTCTGCAGCCGCCTCACCCGCCTCGCCGTGGGAAGTCCGAGTTTCGCACCACTCGGACCCCGACTTGGCACCTGCCTTCGAAGTGCCGGCTCTACGACCCCAGTGCCTTCCACAAGCACACATGACAAGGCATACCAGGGAGTGTCGGAAGCAGTGGTGTTCGTCGTAGGAGTTGGAGTAGGAGTAGCAGTAGGAGTCGGAGTAGGAGCAGGAATAGGAGTGGGAGGAGTAGTAGCAGTAGTAGTAGTAGTAGTAGTAGTAGTAGTAGTAGTAGTAGTAGCAGTAGTGCTAGTAGTAGTAGTAGTAGTAGTAGTAGTAGTAGTAGTAGTAGCAGCAGTAGGGCCAGTAACTAGTAGTAGTTGTAGTAGTAGTATGATGTAGCAGCAGTAGGTGTTCCAGTAGGACCAGGAGCTGTAGTGGTAGTTGTGGCAGAAGCGCCACTTAAGCAGGAGCTATGTTCGAGATTGTGTGTGGTTTTGATGTGAATGAGCGCTAGCAACAGAAAGAGTTTCGATGATTGTAAGGTGAGCTGGCCGGATGCGTCGCCAGCCGCCTCCCGCACGCAGGGCAAAGACAAGCTTGAAGCAAGTACTGCCCGACCCAGCCGTGAGCGCGAGGTCGCCGCAGCATGTGCGGCTTTGTCAGAGAGCGTCGAGGCAGGTGACACTGCTTGGTTTGAGCGGGTCATCATTCAGCTGCGGAGCATTTTGCTGGAGAAGCAAACTGAGGATGCCGCAACGCAGGCAGAGACCGGCCGGACGACGTTTCCCATCCGAGCGGATCCTCTAAAGCAAAAGCCTCCGACGACCTCCTTGCCTCCCAAGCCTTCCGTGGCTACTGAAGTGCCCAAAACGCCCATTTCCACACCGAGCTCCTTGGGCTCACAGCAAACGGAAGCTCAGCCACCCTGGCTCGAAGCACTTCGGCTCTTGGAGACTCGGATCTTGGTTTCGGCTCACAGAGTTCCATAGGGCTCTCATAGGGCTGGTGCTAGACTTAAGGGTCTTTTGAGGGATTTCATAGATTTTACATTTTATATGTCCTGAATATAAAAGTCTGCATGATTTGGAATGATATCCCTTTTTCAGTGCCTTTGTAATGGTGCCATAAGATACCCCCTAAACCCGACTCGAAGCATTAAGACACTTGGTTTGGGATGTAAGGCTTAGTCTCTCATTCACTTTCACTCCACGAGCCATGCTTCAGGACTCGACAGAGGGCATGGAATGAAGGTCGGGTTTGCAGGCTTCTAAACAACCACATTCCTTCATGGCCCCTGTGACTATATACTGAACGGTCTTATGATTTAGGCCCATGTCCTGAACGCTAAAGCTTGAGTCTCAAAAAAGGAAGAGGCGGCGAAGCCGAAAACAGATGCTGGCAGACCTCCTGCAAAGGGATACTTCCCTGCTCGTGTGCAAGCGGAAGCGACGCTTTCTGGAGAGGCATCCCACAGAGCCGGTTTAGGGTTTAGGGGTTTGGGGGCGGGGTAGGAATTAGGGCTTTAGGGTTTGAGGGTTTCGGGTTTAGGGTGCAACCTTCGACAGGGCAGGAGCTACAGTATTCAAGATTGTCCATAAACGGCCATCTTGGAACTAGGCCCCCAAAGACCATCCCCATCGTATAGTTTTCATGTGCTACATCGCGTATAACGGTTGTAATCTTGATGGACGCTCTGGCTGTAACAGTGCTTTTTCGCCCTAAACCCTAAACCCTAAACCCTAAAACCCTAAACCCTAAACCCTAAGCCCTAAAACCCTAAACCCTAAACCCTAAACCCTACTGAAGGAGAAGCTTCAAGCATACTTGGACTCGTTCGCCAACACGCAGGTGGGGGAGTCGGGGCAAAGGAGCCTTGCGGTTTGCGGATGTTTGGGTTTAGGGTTTAGGG